AACGCACTCTTTGTTAGGAGGTTGATCCACAACTCTTCTTATCCACCATTTTCGAATTCGATGTCTAATTATTACTTGGTAAGTCGTCATTGTACCCATAACCAAATTAAATATGACTTTTTAGATAATTATTATAAATTGGAAAAAATTATCGTGATATTAATCGAAAATACAATTTTTAATATTATGAATCTATAGATTATTTAGTATACTCTTTATCTTCATAAATTTTTAACAATTTCTTATTTTTGTATTTGTAATTTGGTGGAATAAACTACTTTTTAATAATTTTTAAATTGTAATTTCGTCCTCAATTTGGCATGTAGCAGCGGAGGCCACGTCGGGAAGCATTGCAGGGGTTGGACACGCTAGAGGAAGAAGAAGGAGATAATTTTGTCATTTCGTCACTGCTTTGGAGGTGTAGGAAGGAAAAAGGGAGGTGCAAGAAGAAAGAACCCTAAGTAGAAGGGTCCATGGGCTTTAAGCATATATAAAATTAAACTGATTATATGAAAATAAGCATCCACTTATAGAGTAAAATACTTTTACATTTTCATTCAATTACAAATCGCATATATGATAAGCATGCTAAATTTAATGATAATTACGTCAATTATAATCGGTTGATAATGTAAAATTTGTTTTGCTAAAAGTACATACGTATTTCTTATAAAGTCTCGTCCTCAAAAAATAACAGACTCATAACACGTTGATGAGTAAAGATGAGTAGAGGTTGATTCAGATGAGAAAGTACTATATATGCTAACGGTATAAATCTTTTTGACATTTCACCTAACAAAGTAATGAAAAACTATCACCATAAGAAGGTCATTGGCTTTAATAATAATTACCTTAAAATGTATATTAATCATGTTTTTTTATCTGGTTAAGAGTTCTAAAACTTTTACATTAACAATATATAATTATTAAAAGTCTAATGGTTGTATCTTATCTACATACAAAAAATGTATACATTTAACTCATTAAAAATCGTTGTTGATATAAATTTTAAAATGGTTAGAGTAAAAGTTAAACAAATTTATAGACATACTACTGTATAATTGTTTTTTCTTATATCTTGTACTCACCATCAAAGTCTCTTTAAAATGACAGTTTCAGTTAAACCCTTTTCAATGTCTACCTGACAAAAAGAGAGTCCAAACCAAAAAGTACACCGATGTATTTTTCTGTGGATAGTAGAAAAAACTACTGAACAAAGAAACAAAAATAAAGACTGATTCAACCCAGGTCATTCATTCAATCCAGAAATGCTTAGACCCAATAACAACCATTCTCTTACCTTTTTATATGTCTTCATACATTTTGTCGCATAGCAGAACAAACGGTTCACTCTGACAATTATTGGGACAGTTTTTTCTGGGCATCTTGTCGTTTTGCTTTTTATTTGTTTGTTGCAACTTCATTGTACCAAAGATACTAGAAAACTGTCTCGCCTGGTTCAATGAACTGAAAGAAAAATTATGTTTCTTTTTATCTTTTTAGTATTATGGGACACGGACAAATTTACATGACTTTTATATTGGATAATAATAAATAACTTTACATTCATTAATCATGCATATAAACTTTAAGAGATTAATTATTTGACCCATAGTGTCTGTAAGTTGGGTTAAAAACCTGATTAATCACTTAAGAGAATCTTGTTTAAGAAATCTGGGTTATATTAAGCTGGTTAACCAAATAAGGTATATTATGTTCATGAGAAATTGGAATCATCATGTAAAAGTAAAGTGAAGTTTTTAGGGAATTGTGTTGCAGTAAGAGAAGGGAGAAAGAGAGTAGATAATCAGGAAAGTGTGATGATAATCACTGTAGTTGGATATAAATCCGTGAGGCACAGAAAAGAAGAGAGAAAATGAAAAGAGGAACCAAAGCTTTATTAGTGATTCTATATGGCATAAAGTATCTTGTGCTCATTGTTTAGTAGCTCAGAATCTGACATAACTGATACTGAAAAAGACCTTGACCTGCTTCCCATTGAGGATTTCCGAATGCTCCTTAAATTTGAGGCCTCAATGCGATGCCTAATAACCCAGTAACACATGGTGCCCAAAGTTGTGGCCATTATAGTTGTCCCTATGATAGTGACTCCAATTGCAAGCCACTTATAATCCTTACCCACCACTACAAATGAAAGTGCTAAGAAGGCCACAGAAATTAGAACACAAGCCAACCACATCAGCTTGTTAATGATGGCCATCATCTGCTTCTTTGCCTTGATTTCTATGATCACAACCGAGGTCTGCACCACCACCACAGCCAGAGAAATGAAGAGGGCAATGGAATCAAAGACAAAGAAAATGAGAAATGCAGCTTGTGGGGCTATGTTTGCTTCACCAATAGTCATACCAGAAACTGGAGGAATGTCTTTTGGATCATCAGCAAATTGGCCAGGGACAGTGAAAATAGCTGCAAAGGCAACTGTGGCAATGAGGACTGCAACCACAGTGGTGGAGTTTATTGCATTGTTGAGTCCTTCAGCATGCAATTTGTTGATACGTTTGGCTATGCCTTGAACACTTCTTCTGGTTTGGCGGGTGTGTTCCAACTGGTCGTGGACTTCATGTTTTATGTCACTCACAGTTTGTTTCAACTCACGAGCTGTGGCTGTTGCTGGCTGAGTCTTTAAGGCTTTGGCACTTCGAACACCGTGTTCCAATAGAATGTCTTTAACTTCAGAGTTCCCAGCTTTTTCAGCAGTGTCTAGTGCAGTTTCGCCAGACTTGTTAACTGCTAAGGAATCTGTTCCTGTCTGTCCAAGAAGCAACTTAACAATCTGCACAAACAGAAATCAAGAGTTCAGACACTATCATTAATCCAATAAAAACTATTAAAATTAACTTTCTTCTGGATCAAGACTGATTCCTACAATTGTTTCAACATCGTTTCTGGTAATTGATGCTTCAACTCAAAAAACTAAGCATGAAAATAAGATCATGTTCTCAAAAATCCCTTGTATTTCTTTCATTATTTTCAAAGGCCAAGCATGTTAAAACCAGATCTAATTTCACCCCTTTAGAAAGTAGAAGCCAAGGGCCAAAATCTTCAAAAGAATTCTACCATGAGACCTCGGTCTTAGGTAAAGATCTGAACTTGAACGGTGTAGTGAATATTATAACATCAATCATAAAGTAAATTTCAACCAAATGATAGCCAAATCTTTTGCTTCATCTTTCATCTGTCCCAGGAACAAGTGCATAATAGGTATCAAAAGTATGAGTCAAGATGACTTTTGCAGAATGATTACCCAATTATTCTGGATTATCACTTCCATCGTGTTCAAATTGTAGTAAACATTATGAACTCGTTTTGAATTAAAAGAACGAAAGAATGAAACAACTTATGTGATCAGGAAAATATCATTCAAGCTGATTGCTACCATGAATTCCTAACAGAGTACTATTCTTGTTCCAACTGCAGGATACCACATGGACACATTTATCCACATGCATGATCTAAATCACAATCCATTTCTTATAATCATAACCTTGCATATGAAGTTTTTATGTAAATATTAGCTTCATTGTGAAAGGCATGTTTTCTAATTTACCTGAGCTCTGCCCTTCCTGGTTGCTATATGCAATGGCGTGTTACCCTTGTTATCAACCATGTTTACTGTTGAGGGATCAGCTTTTATCAACTCCTCCACCACCTCAAGATTCTGTCCCTTCACTGCCATGTGAAGTGCTGTCTGTCCCTTCTTATCAGTACGCGTTGCAACTGCAGGCTCCTTCTCCAGAAGTGCTTTCACAACCTCTACATGTCCATTTCTTGCTGCAGAATGCAAAGCCGTTTTTCCATTACTTCTACCAATAGTTGCCAGACTACTACCTGCTTCCAATAGAAATTTTACAATCTCAATGTGCCCTTGTAATGCAGCAGTGTGCAGGGCTGTGGTGTTGGATGGATCCACTGTCATTGACAACTCAGAATGAGCCTCCATTAGGATCTTCACAATATCTGCAACAGAGAAAATTGTTAACCATTTACGAAAATAATAAGAAAAACTAAGAAAAGACGACAGTGACCAACATTCACAGGTAGAAGAGAGATTCAAATTCTTATTAGATAACAGATACAAAGAGTCTCAATCAATGATTCAATGAAACAACCCGTTATTTTACCCCAGGGCCTAAACTGAAATCCAGTAAACTGATTCAGATTTTGAATTCAACAAAGATGTCCTAGTTATTGTTAGCATTAGTACATCTAAGAACAAAAGGGTATCCAAAATAGTCCTAGATTGTAGAACAAAAGGGTATCCAAAATTTACACCTACCGAGTAGTGATTACAAGTTAGGTTACAATCCAGGGTGACCCGTTGACAAAATATTCAAGGAATCTCAAAAGAAACACAATTGAGATTCCCTCCGAAGATCACACACCACAAAAGAGCAAGCATATAAAGTCATATTGAAGGCATACCTAAATCGCCTTGTTTGGCAGCAATGTGGAGTGCATCAAAACCATTCCTTGCCTTAGTTCCAGCACCAGCAAGATCATAATATTGAATCATCTCCCTAACTATATCAACATAACCATATTCAGCAGCAACATAAAGCACCGTTTCTCCAGCATGGTTCTGCTTTGTCAACAAAGCACGCAGTTCACCCCCTTCAGTGCAACTAACTGTGTCTTTCAGAACGCTCAGATTCCCTGCTCTTGCTGCAGAATGCAAAGGGGTATCATCCCTTTTACCTGTCAATTGTTTTGTCATTTTTTTCCTTGGCGTGCTTGCTGATACAGCTTGCGGCTGCACAGTTGGTGACTCCATTGGATTTGGATTCACACACCACCCTAATCAATCTCTCAGTTTTGACTCCAACTACTATATATCAGAATTCAGAACCTTCTTTTCTTCCTTCCAGCAAAAACCCAGATCAACACTAGCATCTTTCATCCCAAACAACTCTCTCTCATTGAAGCAACTCAAAGGAGAGGATCATCCAAATCAATACTCAAAAACAAAACTCAAAACATCAGAAACTTTCTACCCTCCTGCAAGACTCCAGAATCACTGCACTGATCACCCAGAAAAAAAAAAACTGAGTTCAAACTTAAAAAGTTAAAAAAAAAACAAAAAACAAAAAAGCCACAGCATCAAGCTATGATTTTTCTTATTGCATTTTCTTCATGCTTGAGAGAAAGTGTGGGGAGTGCAGTTTCAATAAGAAGCAATCAAGAGGTGCAAATTTGATAAAAGAAAAAGTAATCATGGGTGAGTGTGAAGGAAGGTTCTCAGTCTCACCTGGTTGTGTTGGGCTTGATAGAAAGCATTGAGATTTGAGGGTAGCTTTGGTTGGACACCCTGTAATGTAAAGAAACCAACTTTGGAGACAGAGAAAAAAAGAAGATGGAGAAAGTGATTGGGTTGAAGGAGATGAATATTTAGAAGGCGTAGGCAATAGATGGCAATGATTAAGACATAAGAGACGAAAGTCACATGCAAGCAACAACTTTACACGAATATAAATCAGAGGTAGAGATAGCTTAAACTTAACATAGTAGTGACGATGGAAGAAGGAGAAAGCGTTGCGAATGATATGAATGAAATGATGGGAATAAAAAACTGAAACTGTTTGATGGAAAAACAATTCAGAACAGAACAATTAAAAAGGGAAAAGAGTCGCTAACAGCAAGGGCGGTGGCTAATGTGGTGAAAGAGATGCACGAGACCAAAATCGAAAGAGTCCAATGAAAGAAAACGGAATTAACAGAACCACGCGCATTTGAATTCCCACTTCCGCGAGTGCACCGAGCTTTTTCTTCACGCGCTATAGTTTTTGCCCAGTTGACTCCTCCATCTCTAATTTATGACCTCAATAAAATTATCCACAATCTATTTAATTTTTATTTTTTCACTTTGGCTGAAGAAAATTATTTTTTTTTTATCAATTCAACTAAAGGAGTTAAGATTAATTCACAAATAAGTTAAAATATATTTTTAAAATAACTAATATTAAAAAAAATTAAGTTAATTTTAATTTTTAAGAAATTGCTCCTACCATTTTTTTAAAAGTTTGTCTAAAATATTCGGCATAATAAAAATTTCCTCAATCTCAAGCATCACTTCTAACAAAACCTTTCCTTTATTCGAATGTTATTGCATGAATTCAAAGAATCTGTGTTAATTACATAAAATAGAAACAAATTGCGTATAATATTCTTAATTCTTAAGAAAGCATAGTTTAATGTGTTTCATAATGATTAAGTAGAGTCTAAAGCACAAGTCATTATTAAAGTTTTTTATTTTGGCAGATTAGTGCTACTTTACCTTTTTAAAAACTTTTATTGAGTTTTAATTTAATCATTAATACTCTTTTTTCTTGATTTTAATCATTAAAATTTTGCTATCGTATTTCGGTACTCTCTTTGGTTTCTATCATAAAAGTTTGCTATATTATAGTAATGTTAACTTTTCATATTAATCTTTTAAGATACCTTTTTTCTATTACTTTTTAAACATGACTTTTCCCATTAATCCATAGTAAGCTAAAATGTTCTTTTCACTTAAAAAATATTTTTTTTTATCAAATCGAAAAGTTTAAATTTAAAAAATATTAAATTGAACTTAAATGGAAAAAAAAGTTAGAGAACTAAAATACTATTTTTTTTTCTAAATTTAAAATTGTAAGCTTGTAAAATTCATTGTCAATAATTATATTCATTTATTTCTGAAGTAAACACCAACAAATGATTATGTAACAATTAATGGGTGATCCAAGTAAAATATACGGTACTTGTTCTCATTAAGGCTTAAGATTCAATTATAAGAAAAAGCTAGTGTCGTTGTGAAGATTACATATTACTAATAAAAGATTTGCCTATTATAAAAATATTTGTAGTGTCATTAAAAAAACACTCATTCCAATTTTAATTTAATTTTATAAAACAATAAATTAAATATTTTATTTTATTTATATTGTTTTTACAAAGTCAAAAAGGTACTTTGCAAATACTTCAATTTATAAATTTTACAATTTTTATTATCTAAAGTGTTTATTCTCTTCCTACGTAAAATGAACGAGGATTATGTTAAATGTCAACTAAAGTATTAAATATGTAATTAATGATAATGTAAATAAAATACATAGATAATATTGTTATTTATAATATAATTTATTATATTTTTGGTCTCATTTATCTTGCATGAGTTTGTCTTTGACCATATTATGCTAAATTACAGAGTAATTATTACACTATCAGTTCTAATAAATCGATAGGTAATTGGTCAGGCCATCTAGCAATAGTCACATACCATACCATGGAGGTTAGACATGTTTAGAAGTCACGTATTGGATGGTTGTTATATGTCATATCCTCCTACAATGAGACCAATAATGATGTTATATATATAGGGGTTTGCTAACGTGCGTACACCTGTTTTTTAGTTGGTATATTTTAGCAATGTGTACCGGGTTTTAGTTTTAGTAGACAAAAATATCCTTATATAATTCTAAGTTTTAAGGTTAAGGGTATTTTAATAATTTTCATTATCAAAACTACAAAAAAAAAACCCCAAACTCATACTCACCTCTCTCATTCCTCTCAACCTAGGGTTAGACAAGTGTTTCTAATTTTTTTCAATTGGAGCTAGAGTAGGAATGACAAAGAAAAGGTTGGAGTAAGAGAGATGAAAGAGAAATGGTTGAGAGGAATGAGAAAGGTGAGCATGGGTTTGCAGGTTTTTTTTTTTTTTCCTTTTTTGATAATGAAAATTATTAAATTATCCTTAACCTTAAAACTTATAATCCATTATATATAAGGATATTTTTGTCTAAACCCCATATATATATATATATATAAAAATTGAATTGGGGCTGGGGAATTCCAAGTTTGTGCAGCGCCTCATAGGTTATGAAAGAATTCTATAGCATACAAAAAAGATGGCATAAAATGAATACAGCAGTTTGGAATTTTTCTTTACCAGAAGAGACTGTGAAGTTTACAAAGGCATTTACCAAAAATATACATGTAAAAGATAGAATATACAAAGAATAAACGGGTAGAAGTCAGTCATTACACAAATCCAATCTAGCGAACTTGTATTGAAAGTTTATATAGCTCTGATCAACGGATCATATGAAATAGGCCAAAATGTTGGCAGCTTCAACAAAAAGGGAAAGATTAGAGAACTGACAGATCATACCTGAGAAAAAAATGACTCCACAAACTCCCTTTGTGCAACAGCAAATACCTGTTGTGTGACAAAAGTAGCGTAAGTCATAACAAATACTTCAAAGATCTATTACCTAAGTTTATTTCCTGAAAAGGTATAAGCTATTGCAGTTTATTTCAACCCATGGCCACTAATGGTCACACCGTCAGGGAATTTATTGATGCAAACTAAAAGCCTAGTTAGGGAAAGCATCTATTAACAGGTTAATTATTACGAATGTATAAGCTTAGAGAACAATTGATTCTGCATTAGAAACTGCATAATAGCAGGTGTACAAGAAATAGCTGCTGGCAATTATGTATTAGATATATATTTGAATGTAGATTGTGTAATTAGGAAGGGTGCAGTTATTTGCATTTTGTGGACAGAAAACATTCTCTGTAGGAGACTTTCGTCTGTGAAGCACTAAGTGTATAGCTGCATTGTTCATGATTTCAGTGCTAATGTCATACTTTATCAATTGGCGTTCTATAAATATTGACTGACGAACAGGAAATATACTTGAATCAAAAGAATACCAAAATCCTCCCAATTACTGTCAATTAAACACTGGGTGGACATGGATCCAGAGGGGAACCACTCCACAGGCCCAAAACAAATATGAGAACCACAATCCAGGTATCGCTCTAGCAATGTACAGAGGAATTCAAAACAGGCCACTTACAGCCGGTGTCCAATGTACTCCTGCACGAAGTGACCCTAGAACCTCCCCTTCCTTCACCAGTCCGTTAAACAATGACTGGAAGAAAGATCCTTCAACAGCCAAACCGCTGGTTCCGTCAATTTCTTGCAGCAACTGCTGCAACGAACTCCATACCACAGTCAAATTGGTTGGAACAGTGGTACCCCGCACAGCGCCTCGAACCATGGCACCAACACGAGCCACGTAGGCAGGAGTATACAGTTGGCCACCTTCAAGCCTTCCTTTCACCTATTTTCAAAATCCAGCACTCATCAAAATGCAATTCTCACTCTCCTTGAAAATTCAACAAAGCACATTCAAACCAACACACACAGACTCACAATTCTTCCAAGGCGCGGGTCCAACACGGAGGCAACCAAGTCCAAACCGACGTTCAATTGCGCCGCGATCTCCGTCAGCGCAATCTGACTACACTCCTGAAGCCTCTCGTTAATCTCTTCCGCGACTGAGTCCCAATAAGAGCTAGACATGATTTCTCCCTGAGTCAACATGAGTTCTCGGTGTGCTGTTACAACGCTCTGCGCCTGCTTCTCCACGTAGTACAAGTCAACTCCAGTAGAGTCAGCGAGATCGATCAAAGAAACGCGCCCTAATCTCTTCACCTCAGCCACCATATCATTCCTCAGTTGATCCTATCAACATGCGCAATCGCTTTAATAAACTTTTGATTAAGATTAAGCATTATCACAACTCAGTGAACGAAGCTATGGAATATAATAGATTATCGGTTACTGAATCCATTGAAAATGAAAATTGCGAGCGATGAAACCTAATCGGCAAAAGAAGAAGCAGAGAGAGCGTACGAGAGTGATGTACTCTTTGCCGGAGACAGTGTGGAGAAGTTCGAAATCAATGATTTGGAGTTGCTGCAGTTTTTGGACCAATTCGACGGACGTTTCGCTCTGATAATCGAATGCTCGACTTGGCTTGCTGCGCGAACTCGAATTGTCGCTGCAGCTCGAGCAGTTCGTCGTCCATGGTTTGATCTTCACGCACACTCCGAATGCGTTTCTCTTTCGCCCTTCGGAAGATCACTGAAATGTTCTTCGGTTTGTATTTGTAGTGACCACTGAAATTGTGTTTAGTTACACGTTTTTGTTGAAGAAAGAATTTCGATCAAGGAACAAATCAATAGTTTCCCAGTGCTCTTGTTTATTAACTTATTATTTTGTATAGTTTTATAATATAAAATTTAATTTTTATGCGGAAATAATTTTAAGATTTTATTAAATTTCAACTTATTGATAAACTTGTGTATTTAATTCTTTTGACTTTATATTAATTTTTTTTCTGTAATTTATATTTTTTATGGAGTTCCTGCTATATAGCTTTTTTAATTGGTCGAGAAATGCTTAGTCAATTTTTTTATTTACTTTCACAAATTAAAAAAATATAAAAATTTGTAATTAATTTGAATCAATATTAAAAATATAAATGACTTTGATTTTATTATAAATGTTAGATAATATTTTTCTTATTTATATTAATGATAAGTAATAGTTTTTGAGCTATTATAAATGAAGACATTACATTGAAGAATATGTTTGACTTCGACATGTATAAACAAAATTTTAATTAATGGAAAAACTGAATAATATATATTTAATTAAAAATATAAAACATTAAAAATACTAAATATTAAAAATATTAAAAATTTAATTAAAAATATTTAACTTTATAATAAATGCAAAATTTAATTTTAAATTACAAAATTTATATGATATTCTTCTTTCATTAAATTTAAAGTTTTATAGAAGGGTGTTGTTCCTCCACCACCACTCCTTGTTTCCTCCACTTCTCCAACCCTTTACAAAATAAATTTAATTACAAAAATAGTCTTTTTTATTTTTAACCTTATTTATTTACTTTATTCTGAAACCCTAAATTCCTACCTATTTTTATTCACCCATTTTCACTGCACAGCCCCACTATCCCAAGTCTCACTTTCTCTCTTTCCATATTTTCACCCCCTCCAACTCTCATTGGATCCGTTTCTTCTCATCTCCCAATTCTTACTTCTCTTCTCCATATTTGTTTGGTTCTTCTTCATATTTCTGTCTCCATATCGTTTGATTTCTTAGTGCGATGGTGTGGCTTTTCGTGGTGCGGCGATGCGGGGTGTTTGCGGTGGTCATTCGGCAGTGCAACGGTTTAAACGATAATGAATATTTTATGACTAACAATAATGAATATTTTATTACTAACATCATAAAAAAATAATTTTATTGACATTGATAAAAAATTCTAAATGACATCAATGGAAACATATATCATTACTGTTGGTAAAAAAAATGATTGCAAAATAAATCGGAAATAACCACAATCAGTATAATATGCATTATGTTAGTAAAGGGGGTTAAAGTATATGTATCTCAATTGCAAAACTAAAGAACGGAAGAAAAAGGATTGAAAAAGGTATACATGAATTAAGGAAAAAGGTGTGCAAAAGTGCAAAAGTCGTACGAGGAAGTATAAGGTAAAAGTGGCTAAATGAAAGTGGATCAAATCCGCGCGGAAAGGGGTGGAAAAGGGCAGAGTGGAATTGTGTATTTAAATAGTATATAAAATGGTTTTTTTTTTTTTTTTTTTCAACCTTTTTATAAAATTAACTATCCTCCACAATATTTTTTTTGACACATTGCGACATATATTTATTCCTCATGTATCAACATTTTTTTATGTGAGATTGCTAACTCTTCGTACGTTGGTGGGGGAAGATAAACAAAAAAGTCAAAAGATACAACAATGGAAATAGCATAAAAAAACAGAGAGACAAAAGAAAATGAAACATAGAAACATGGAACCACCATTAAAATGATTGTGTTGTTTGGATAATGAGATCGAAGAGAGAAAGAAACAACATAATTGTATGCTTGTTGGTTAAGCATAAACAAGACCATCGCATTCATGTAGGAGATTAGAATGGGTAGAAGTTAAAAAATTATTAATCTTAAAAATAAAATTGTACTTAATGGTAAAATAAAAATAAAAAGGTGGAGGGAGGAATAAAACATGAATAAGAAGAGGTAGAAGGAGTAAGAGGTGGTGGTGGAGGGAGCAACACCCTTTATAGAATTTATATGTTAAAATTTTCTTAATAACTTAAATACTATTTTGTTTCAACGGTAAACCACTCTTTAATCAAAAAGGATAAAAATCCTTTTTAACTCTTAATTAAGTTTATTAAAGAAAATAAGATTTGAACTCGAATCTAGATAGTAGATGGACTTAGATTAACTATGTTGACCCATTTATTTGGATTTAGAGCTTCGACCTTGGGACGTTTTTACTTTTTCGTAAAAGCAAACGCACTCTTTGTTAGGAGGTTGATCCACAACTCTTCTTATCCACCATTTTCGAATTCGATGTCTAATTATTACTTGGTAAGTCGTCATTGTACCCATAACCAAATTAAATATGACTTTTTAGATAATTATTATAAATTGGAAAAAATTATCGTGATATTAATCGAAAATACAATTTTTAATATTATGAATCTATAGATTATTTAGTATACTCTTTATCTTCATAAATTTTTAACAATTTCTTATTTTTGTATTTGTAATTTGGTGGAATAAACTACTTTTTAATAATTTTTAAATTGTAATTTCGTCCTCAATTTGGCATGTAGCAGCGGAGGCCACGTCGGGAAGCATTGCAGGGGTTGGACACGCTAGAGGAAGAAGAAGGAGATAATTTTGTCATTTCGTCACTGCTTTGGAGGTGTAGGAAGGAAAAAGGGAGGTGCAAGAAGAAAGAACCCTAAGTAGAAGGGTCCATGGGCTTTAAGCATATATAAAATTAAACTGATTATATGAAAATAAGCATCCACTTATAGAGTAAAATACTTTTACATTTTCATTCAATTACAAATCGCATATATGATAAGCATGCTAAATTTAATGATAATTACGTCAATTATAATCGGTTGATAATGTAAAATTTGTTTTGCTAAAAGTACATACGTATTTCTTATAAAGTCTCGTCCTCAAAAAATAACAGACTCATAACACGTTGATGAGTAAAGATGAGTAGAGGTTGATTCAGATGAGAAAGTACTATATATGCTAACGGTATAAATCTTTTTGACATTTCACCTAACAAAGTAATGAAAAACTATCACCATAAGAAGGTCATTGGCTTTAATAATAATTACCTTAAAATGTATATTAATCATGTTTTTTTATCTGGTTAAGAGTTCTAAAACTTTTACATTAACAATATATAATTATTAAAAGTCTAATGGTTGTATCTTATCTACATACAAAAAATGTATACATTTAACTCATTAAAAATCGTTGTTGATATAAATTTTAAAATGGTTAGAGTAAAAGTTAAACAAATTTATAGACATACTACTGTATAATTGTTTTTTCTTATATCTTGTACTCACCATCAAAGTCTCTTTAAAATGACAGTTTCAGTTAAACCCTTTTCAATGTCTACCTGACAAAAAGAGAGTCCAAACCAAAAAGTACACCGATGTATTTTTCTGTGGATAGTAGAAAAAACTACTGAACAAAGAAACAAAAATAAAGACTGATTCAACCCAGGTCATTCATTCAATCCAGAAATGCTTAGACCCAATAACAACCATTCTCTTACCTTTTTATATGTCTTCATACATTTTGTCGCATAGCAGAACAAACGGTTCACTCTGACAATTATTGGGACAGTTTTTTCTGGGCATCTTGTCGTTTTGCTTTTTATTTGTTTGTTGCAACTTCATTGTACCAAAGATACTAGAAAACTGTCTCGCCTGGTTCAATGAACTGAAAGAAAAATTATGTTTCTTTTTATCTTTTTAGTATTATGGGACACGGACAAATTTACATGACTTTTATATTGGATAATAATAAATAACTTTACATTCATTAATCATGCATATAAACTTTAAGAGATTAATTATTTGACCCATAGTGTCTGTAAGTTGGGTTAAAAACCTGATTAATCACTTAAGAGAATCTTGTTTAAGAAATCTGGGTTATATTAAGCTGGTTAACCAAATAAGGTATATTATGTTCATGAGAAATTGGAATCATCAAGTAAAAGTAAGTGAAGTTTTTAGTGGTTGGTGTTGCAGTAAGATGGGAGAAAGAGAGTAGATAATCAGGAAAGTGTGATGATAATCACTGTAGTTGGATATAAATCCGTGAGGCACAGAAAAGAAGAGAGAAAATGAAAAGAGGAACCAAAGCTTTATTAGTGATTCTATATGGCATAAAGTATCTTGCGGTCATTGTTTAGTAGCTCAGAATCTGACATAACTGATACTGAAAAAGACCTTGACCTGCTTCCCATTGAGGATTTCCGAATGCTCCTTAAATTTGAGGCCTCAATGCGATGCCTAATAACCCAGTAACACATGGTGCCCAAAGTTGTGGCCATTATAGTTGTCCCTATGATAGTGACTCCAATTGCAAGCCACTTTGATCCTTTCCCACCACTACAAATGAAAGTGCTAAGAAGGCCACAGAAATTAGAACACAAGCCAACCACATCAGCTTGTTAATGATGGCCATCATCTGCTTCTTTGCCTTGCTTTCTATGATCACAACCGAGGTCTGCACCACCACCCACAGCCAGGAGAAATGAAGAGGGCAATGGAAATCAAAGACAAAAGAAAATGAGAAATGCAGCTTGTGGGGCTATGTTTGCTTCACCAATGGTCATCCCGGAAGCTGGAGGAATGTCTTTTGGATCATCAGCAAATTGGCCAGGGACAGTGAAAATAGCTGCAAAGGCAACTGTGGGGCAATGAGGACTGCAACCCACAGTGGTGGAGTTTTTATTGCATTGTTGAGTCTTCAGCATGCATTTGTTGATACGTTTAGCTATGCCTTGAACACCTCTTCTAGTTTGGCGAGTGTGTTCCAACTGGTGGTGGACTTCATGTTTTATGTCACTCACAGTTTGTTTCAACTCACGTGCTGTGGCTGTTGCTGGCTGAGTCTTTAAGGCTTTGGCACTTCGAACACCGTGTTCCAGTAGAATGTCTTTAACTTCAGAGTTCCCAGCTTTTTCAGCAGTGTCTAGTGCAGTTTCGCCAGACTTGTTAACTGCCAAGGAATCTGTTTCTGTCTGTCCAACAAGCAACTTAACAATCTGCACAAACAGAAATCA